AATTCTCTAACATGATGTAATGCAAATCCACTTAACTAGTCATGATACACTTGTGGGCTCCGAAAATTCAGCCCCGGCCTCCGCCCGCTTTTCTTTTTATTATTCGGCGAGGGAGTTTTAACTGATAGGTTATGGGGTAAATTTTAGAAGGCAGATGGATTTGTAGATAAGACACTACCCAGAGATTTAGCCCTCATTTTGCGAGGACTTTATGATCTGAGTTCTGGTTTCCTATAGGCGCAAGCCCCTATAGTTAATTACCCCTCTCGACCACGAGAGAGAACTTTCGATTAAGGCTAGTCATCAATCAAATACGTAGAATATACGTGTTATCTGGCATATAGTAGCAGCATGGGTTTGAGATTGGAAGTTTGAAGAGTTTGGAAATTTGGGAAGAGTTTGATATTTAAAATGAGAACTTCACCATCTTGCGCCTAAAGCGGATGGTGGGGGAAGGATGATGGGCCCGATCAAGATCCCATGGTTCCGTCGTCCCGGGCCATCGTGGTCCATGGTCTACTTAGTTAGAGGAGGTAGTCGACCCAACTTAATAGAAGGATCCTTGTCGGCAGCCATGGGTTGCTTCGTTCAAGGGGACCTTGTAGACCTGGGATGGGTATTTGCTTAAGGAGACAAATTTAAATCCACCTTAGCTAACAGAGAGCTTTGTGCCTTATCAATCATATCCTATTGATTCATATCTCAAGGATTTGATGTCAATAAGGAACGTATTGGCTCTGGCCATAACCAGTATTTCGTGGTGCCATTTGTGGCAAAATCACTCGGTTCAGAGGGCCCCGGGTCATAACCGTTTATCTTGTGGTGCCATTTGGCGGCAAAATCGTCGGTTAGAGGACACGTACCACATCCTTACTGGCAGGAGATTGTTTGAGAATGGATCATAGTGATATTTTCGACTAAGCATTTGGCTCTTTGTGAGCTGAAGTAGTATTTGGATTTATCCACCTCGGTAAACTTTTGCGGAGGATGGATGGATTTTGCTTAGAGTGATTGATGGATTTATTTCAAATTTAAATATCTTCAATTTTGGATTTTTGGAATTTTGGATTTTTTTTGCTAGAGCTTGGAAGGCATTAAAAATATTTGTGAACCCCTCCGGTTGAGATTTGCATTCAACACGGCCATCATCGGGGTGTACTTGATGTAATTTCCATTTGATTGAACCTTGTCGACCCTATCAACTTAACGATAGAGGATCGGGTTTCTCGTAGGCTTTATGCCTTTGTTCATGAATTTTCTTTATTGAAGGCCTTGAAGGCCGAATATGAATGTATAAAATAAATATTCCGGTCCACTTCATGACCACATATTTATCCGAGAGTTTGAACCCTGTCTACTCCTATTTATCTGCTTAGGGGGATCGGGTTTCATAGGCTTCATGCCCTTTTGTTTAATGAATTCTCTTAATTATAGGCCTTGAAGGCCTAATATGAATGCAATAAAACAAATATACTAGCCATCGCGACTGTATACTTGTTTGTTGGTTCGAACCCTGTCGACTTCTATTGACCCGTATAGAAGGATCAGGTTTGAAATTGAATTCACTTATTGACCCGCACAGCATCCCTAGACATCACATGTGTACCAATAACACGCTCGCCTGGGCCCATGCGGGTCGGGATTATATTTTCCCCTTTAGTGTACCTATGTGTATACAATTTATAGTGTACGTGTAGGGGTATTTTGAAATAATTGTAGTTGTGCAAATAACCACCATTTGGATACACAAAACTTTTCATTTGAGAGCTTATACACACCTTCTGTCCGCTAGTATGAATGTTGCGGATCCGATGGTGTTGTTTTGTAGATCGTCCTGAGGCATTTCACCTTTTGCGATCATCAATGTAGTAGACTTGATATTTTTGATATTTGTGGATGCCAGAACTGTTTTCTTCTTAAGTATATGACTAAGAAGAGGCTTGGGAACACCAGGAAGTTTGGTTCTAATTTGTTCAAACTTCTTTTTCGATTCTTCCAGGGAGTGTACTTTTTGTACATCAAGTTGTCCTTGTACTCAACGCACTTGTAGATCTTGATCACCATTGTCGTAAGTGATATTTGTACTTGTGCCCACAGTGGTTCGTTGTGCTTACAATACACCTAATGTTGTTATCCACAAGCGACTTGTACATATTTAAGGGAACCCGTTGCAGCCATTACGAGCTCCTGAAACTGTTCGTAGGAGACCCATTGTTGCCTACATCATGCCCACCTGTCACCAATCTCAGGTGGGTCTTAATTGTACTTGTTTGTAGAGGACATGTCTTTGATTGCTGGTCTCCAGTATTGCAATCTCAATCAACATGCATTATTTATAAGGAGATTTACACCTTATTATGGTCATTTCACATTCGTATGTAGACATTTGCACTTAGTCTGCTAATCAACCACCTTTCAGTTGCAAGGGATATATGTACTTGTCTTCGATCGGATGATTGTTGACACTAGCGGGCATTTACATATGTTGTATGCTTCACTAAACACATCCGTAAAAGATGTGATTTGATTGGTGTTGGATTTGAGGATGTTGCAATATCTTCCCCAACATTGATTCGTCAGATTCCTTGTGCTCCTTTTGGGTTCAGACTTTATTCAAGCTCAAGTCTTGGTTCAAGTCCCCTGCAGTTCTTTTGAGTTCAATTTCATGTTCGTATTGATTTTAATTTCTGGTTCTGGTTTGATTTTATTTTATTTGGATTTGGCCTTTAAAAAAAAATCATTTAAATTTTGGTTCTGATTTAGGTCCACAAGTTCACTGTTCTTCGTACAAGTTCTCTGCACATTTAGTTCAAGTTCTGTGCTTTCAGTTTAAGTACGAGTCCTCTGTTGTCCTTCGTATTGCTGTTTAAATGATGTCTTCTTGTTGTTCAGGTCTTGTGCACTTCAATGAAAATTTCGACAACATCCCGGCATATCCTTCGTTTAGGTGAAAGTAGGGGAGCTGGGCCTTCCCACCACGCTACTAGAGCGTGTATGGTAGGTGTCCTTAGACACCGCGGCCGTATAAATTTTCATCCCACCACGCTACAAGAGCATGTATGGGGCCTTCAGCAGTACCCATACAAGAACACCAGTGGCTCTCCCCACCACGCTATAAGAGCGTGTACAGGGTTTACCCACCTCGTCGTATGCTTCGCACCGGGATCCCTCCTACCGTGCTACAAGAGCGCGTATAGGTGGTTCCCCGGTCCGCTGCAAATGTCGAGAATGGGATTTTTGAACATCATACCTTTGCGTAGCAGTGTCGGCGTCGATGTCGAGCTCGAGGCCCGTCCCCACCACGCTATAAGAGCATGTATAGGGGATCCACCAGCGCGTCAAGCACGTCGAGGACAAGATTTAAGTTAGAAATTATACCTTGGGGCCCGGCAGGGAGTCGTCGGCAACTGTCGGCTCGAGGATCGAGGCGGGAGAAGGCAATCATTTTCAATTAATGATAACTAATTATTTAATTATAATTAACCATTAATTATAATTAAAGTTATTTAATTATAATAAATTATAACTAAAAATAATTAAATAATTAATTATAATTAATTATAATTAGTTATGCCTAATTATAATTGATAATAATTAATAGTAATTAATGATAATTAAATGTTAAATATAATTAATAATAATTAATACTATTTAATTATAATTAATTATAATTAATTATAATTAATATTAGTTAGTTAATAATATTAAAATATGTAATCTCTCCCTCTATCTATCTCTCTGTTGAGCAGATTTAGGGGATTTGGCCGTGGAAGCACGCGCAAGGGAGAAGGTTACCTACTCAACCAGCGAGCTCCTATTGTTGCTTCCGATCAAAATGTTGAAACTTTCGATCCAACAGAGAAGAGAACGTCGTGGAAGGAGGGTAAAGATCGGAGCTAGGGTAGTGGCCGAAGAAGCAAAGGAGGGGAGAAAGTTTCCTTCACAGTCAGTGAGCTCGTGTTGTTGGTTTCGAAAAAAATGTCGTAACTTCCGATCCCGACATGAATGTCGCCAAAGGAGCGGAGTCGGACAGCGTGCAACAGGGAGAAAGTTTCATTCACAGCAGTGAGCTCCCAGTTGTTACTTCTGATTTAAATGTCGTAACTTCCAATCCACGGGAAGGGAAAGTCGTCGAAGGCAGCGAAGCTGAACAACACCGGAGGAGGCGAAGAAGCGGAAAGGAGAAAGCTATCGTCACTGCGAGCTAGCTCCGGTCGTGGCCTCCGATCAAAGTCCAATCCAACCTGGAAGGGAACGTCGTCGTTGGGGAAAGGTCGAGCGAGAGAGGGAAATCGAGAGTGAGAGAGCCCGAGCTCTCTCATTTCTTCAGATTTTAACGAGGCAAAGGGGTCGTGTGGAGGACGTGCGTGAGGCGACGTCGACGAGTGCTAGGATCGTGGCCGCACGTCCGAATAGGCACGCGAAATTTTTTTTATTTTGTTTTGGCTGTCGTATACAGGTCAACAACACTAATTACTATTTTACTGGGAACTTTTGAGTAAATCCAACTACAAATTCATACATACCGCATATACAAGATTTCAAACTAAAAAATCTTGATTTAAAACACACTCCTGTCCAATATATTAAGGTGAAATACATAACTAGTACACAAATTCATTACTAGAGATCCAACAAGAGTATAAAAGGTCTTGAAACGTTTATTGAACAGAGGCCCACTGAAAGTCAAGCTCATGGCACGTGCAAACTACGGAGACAACAATTATCATTTTAACACTGCTCAGCCCAATTATTTTTTATGACCAGCATAATTGAAACATGACTATTTTCATAGCATGTGATAAGAGTAGAAGACGCGACATGATAATGAAAGAGTAAATACATAGGCGCCACCACTATTTTTAATCAAATTTTATTTCACCCATATGCACTGATGAAATCCAGGATCGGGTAACAAGAAATGTTCTAGCAATCCAAAAAAAAAAAAAAAAAAAAAAAAAAAAAAAAACTATGAAATATAACTTGTAGGCACCATTCGGTTGGGAATAGCCAAATTAACATGTAAAGAAGCACTTGGCTTCGGAATAACACAGGATTAGGAGGAATTCTTAAATTTTCATTGCGAAATACTTACAGCAAATCCAAACAGGCCATTTGTTCTGACATGAAGTTCAGGAGGAGAATGCTCCACTAATGAATAGTTTGCACCAAAGGACCGATTATAAATGAGATTAATCTTATTCCTATGTGCTACTTTTGGCCTGTTGAGCCACAAAAGAAGAATTAGCCACTTCAAGCCATAGCTAAAGCTTTGTTCTTCCTGGCCGACAACTCTCAAATTGGCTTGCAAGCAGAAATTAAGCATTTAATAGAAGAATGCTAGCAGCATAGGTAGAATATCATGGCCATCCTTAATCATGAATGTCTTGTAAAGGTAGAATATCTGCAAAAAGGACATTTCATCTCCAAATGAGGTATGAGCGCATTGACAAGGCACTAAAAACATATTTCTGAAATCAAAACAGTATGGGCCATAAGTTTTACAGAGATGTGTCAAAATGAACAACCAGGTCAACCTCACTCCCTTTTGCGGCAGATTGTCATGCCATCACCAATAGGTACCTATGAGATGCCAACATTTATTAACTGGTAGCGGGCCGTATTGAAAAGCCAAAAAACATTAAAGAAAAACAAGAATTTGAAAACATTAAGATTATATCCTGACCATACTGATGCTAACTCGGTTGTCCGAGAGAATTTTTTTATTGAAATTTCTTAGGCTCATAGTCTTCGAGTCTTTTACCTGTTACAAGTACCACAGAGAAATTATAACTGATAATTAAGGTAGAACTTATGAGTATATTCATGGTTAAACACTAGTGACTTACTTGGGGATCAGAAACTTTTCCGTGCCATAGAACATTATCAAAAATTATTACGCCACCAAACCTCACCTATAATGCACAAAAGAAGAATTAACTTGAGATATTCATTGAAAAAAATTGTAATCCAACCAAATCGAAAAACTATTTCAATATATTTTAATATATATATATATATACAATCATACAGTCATTAGAATGACTTACATGCAAATATTAAGATTTATTTCCCCTACATTACATTACTACAGCAGCTTGCAAGTAAGAAGTTGAGTAGAACCTTACCAGTTGTAACAGTAATTCATAATATTCATCATACATTCGCTTCTCCGCATCAACAAAAGCAAAGTCATAGCTGGAAATTATATGAGGAAAAGAAAGGGATTAGCTATAATACCTTAAAATCCATGATTTTATACAAAAAAATTTTATGAAACTAAATATCGTTAGTTGCAAATTGCCGGGGAAAAACTCTATCAAAATTAAATGCAATTTTTAAAATTTTGCAATTAAAATCTTTTAATGATCATATTTATTGGGAGAAATAATCAAACAAAAAAAAATCGAAAATATGATGCAGGAAGAGAATAACAAGCAAAGTGTCGCTTCAAGGTTATGCTAAAGATTAGAAGAAACTTGAAAGATAGCATTTCTCAGTTTTATCTGTTATCATTACAAACAATCTAAGCCATTTCGTGATTTGGAGAAAAACCAAACTTACCCAAATGAAGAATTGACCAAAGCAAACATCAAATATCATGAAAACTATTGGCAAACCTAACATAATCTTTTTGCTTCTTATTGCAGGATGTATAAGATAACTTTTTGAGATGTTTTTGCTTTAACCATTTTCACTTGGTTGGGATTGAGGGGGCGGTCTATCAAGAGACCGGCATGATGATGATGGGATGATAAATATTCCTCAAATGTGGGTAATGGCATTCTAAAATGTTAACATGCATCTTTATCGTGCAACATCTTTTTTTGTTTATTGAAAACATTGTTGAAGCTTCCTCATATGGAGGAATATTAACAAGAAGGCGGAGGAGAAAGTTGAATGCTGAGATCCGAGCTCAGCAGCAACAACTCCCTGTCCACTCATCCAACCTGCCGGCTCAAGAACCCGAAGTTACCATTCCCACTCGGAATGGGTTCGCAGGCCTCAAGTGAGTAAAAAGAAATAGCTCCAAGGGTGAGCTAAAAAAGTCATTTTGGGATCAACGGCCCGAAGCTTCAGTCCCCCCAAAGAAGAAAGAGCCTGAAACTTTTTCGGCACGGGTGTACCGGGAGTTGAAGACTGTAAGGGAGAGAGGTTTGAAAAAGAAGAAGTATCAGCAGCCCTTGATAATTGAAGCTAGAAGAAGTTCGCCAATAGAACGTCTTTCTGTTACAGCGGAGTGGAAGGAAAGAAAAAATGGTCCGCGCGGTGAACATCGGGGTGTGACACTCGAACTTCATATTCATAAATACACCGCCGAAAGGTCCTGATCGAAAGTAAAGCAAGTCTGGAGGCCCAAGCCTCACAAAGAAGATAGAGAAGAAAGAAGGGAAAGGATAATCAACATGGGCGTGCCATCCGGTGAGGCTTCTAGGAGAGCCGCCCCCGCCAACCGAAATCGTCAAAAATGGGTTCCAAAGAAGGTCCACGATGATGCCCCTGCCGACTGTTGACACCTTGGAGAATCCTCCAGAGGATCCCATCTCTCACTAACCCCTCCAAAAGAAGAAACCAACTTTGACTGTAGCCCCCTCATCGAAGAAGTCTCCTAGCTGAATCAAGAATCGGAGATCCAGTGGCATCGCCGCTCGAAGATTCGAGTACTAGAAAGTGAAGGGGAAGAAAAAATGAAAGAGGAGGAATATATCGAAGAGGAAGAAAATATAGAAAAAATTATAGAAGAAAATATGGAAGAAAGTATGGAAAAAAACTTAGAAGAAGAAATGAAAGAAATGAATGACACTATAAAAATGAAAGTCGTCTATATTGTGAGGCACATCAATGGCAATAAGGATGCTTACTATGACGACGGTGAAAGAGATGACCATTGGAAACCGCCACCTAGGGAAGCTCATCGACATCGTCATGAAGTTGGGTCCACCACTGGCACAGGTGGCCATTCCCAAGGGGAAGACGAGGTGGAAGAAGTCGAGGACAATTCGCCCGATGCTGAAGACGTCATGCTTGCTAATATGCAACTACAAATAAAACGGCAAATGAGAGCTAAATATAAAGAAATCTCTCAGTTGAATGAGAAAATGACTGAGATGATGGTTCAAATGGAGACGATGATGTAGATAATGCAGAGAAATGTTTTAGTAGGTCCCATGCACAAACCTCCTCCCGATCCTCCAAACTTCAAAGTTCCACAAGTATCAAGCGTAAGGGGAGCTCCTAAAGGTGTTCGCGAAGACCATAACATCGTCCACCAGCCCACCTCATAAATGTTGCAAGTACTTCCGAACATGTGACTGCTGCACAGTTGAAAGGAATCATCACCGAGAAGAACAAGACTATCATAGTCGTTGACCAATCAGAGAAATTAGTGGGCAAGGGCCACCCATACCCTGCTGAATATGACCAAGTGTCATACCCGAAAGGATATCGGTCCCAAAGTTTCATACTTTCAATGGCTCTAACAACCGCCGACAGCACTTGGCGCAGTTCAAGGCCAACTGCGGGAATATGGTAGAAAATGACGCATTACTCTGCCAACAAATCATTAACAGTTTAACATCAACTATTTTCGAATGGTATGCCGAGTTGCTAAATGACTCTGTAAAAACTTTTGCAGAATTAGAGGTCATGTTTATGAAGAGTTCGCCAGTGCGACTGAGAAGATTATGATCGCCGACCTCACCTTAGACAAGTAGAAGGGAGAGGAGTCAGTATCGAAATACATAACTTGTTAACGCAATCTAAACATGAAATTTGAGCAGCAACTTGAAGAAGAACACGCAGTGCAATTCTTGAAAGTTCATTTGGAATGTTAAGCCCTTATGAACTAGCCCGAGGTTAACCAAGAGTGGGGTGAATTGGTATTTTAAAAATCTTTCAAACAATTTAAACACAAAAACTCAAACCAAAATTCACCACAACGATAATCAAAGTACAGAAATTAAATGCGGAAGAAATAGTAGTAAAGAACACAAAGATTTATAGTGGTTCGGTCAACACGACCTACATCCACTCCCCGGAGGCGCCCTCCGAGTATTGCACTAAAACTCAGTGACTCTCCTTTTGCTCTCACAGCAAGGCAGAAAAGCCTTTACAAAACTTCTTTCCACCTACACCGGTGAGGCAGAGAACCCAAATCCTTTTGCTTCCTCCTGAAACAATCAGAGAACCTTAATCAATTGGTGAAGTGAACCTCTCTCAACCCTCCAAGGACAAGGGACTATGATGGAAGAAAAAGATGTGGATCAAAGCTTGGAGCAACCTTTATAAAACCCACTCACAAACTCCCCCTCACAAGATCCTCTCTCTCTCTCTCCCTCTCCTCTAGGCTCTCTCAGGTCAAGATATAAGCAAAAGATATTCTAAATGGTAGAACAAACACTCTTAAATAGAAGAGCTTCGGAATAGCTCAATAATTGCAATGAACTAACTCTATCGTCCAGGACAATATAAATATCATCCTGGACGATCAGTGCAATTTAATCTTAATCAGCCAGGACGATCTGGGACGATCAGATGAATTTTGTTCATATCATCCAGGCCGATATAAAATTGTCCTGTACGATTAGTTCAAATCAGTGAATATCGACCAGACAATCGCACTGAATGGATGTCTGGAAGATGAAAAAGTAGCTTGATCGTCCATGACGATCTCACGATCGTCCTGGACGATTAGTTCAAATCCGTAAAAATCGTCCAGAGCATCGTCCTGAATAAGAGCTATCCCATGTTGATCGTCCAGGAGAACTAAGATATTTTGAACTGATCGTCCAGGATGATGTGATCGTATCTATCAAGCCTTAATTATTTTTTTTAATTACCAAATTAATTTAGGCATAATTATGTGCATCGACCAGGACGATGTCTAAAAATAAATAATACCTAAATTGATCTGGCGGCTGATTCTTTCTGATTAGAGCATATCATCCCGGACGATATCAATATCGTCCAGGACGATGAGCTTAATGACGGCTGCCTTAACAATGATACCCTAATTAGAATTTCTATTTTTAACTGATCGTCCAGGATGATATTTGGATCGTCCTGGACGATATCCTAAAAACAGAGAACATTAAATCAGATAGAAAAAAATTCTCCCAAGTGTGCATGTGCAAGGTTAATTAGCATCAAGAATCACATTTATTACAAATAGACTCAAGAAAGAAAAAAGGTTTACAAACTGACTCAGATCTAGTCTATCCAATCTTGAGCTGACTCAAATTACAGTCTTGATCTTATGGACCTGAAATGTTAGTAGGCAAGACAATCGTAAGCAAACAAAAGTATTTGTTATCATCAAAATTCTATTTTTGAAAATAGATATACAACAATCTTCCCTTTTTTGATGATGTCAAACACAAAAATTAATTAAAACAGTTCAAAACAGTTTTAAAGAAAATGAGTAAGAAAACAAACACAGTTGTTCAACTAATCAATATAAATATAACATAATAAACAAAAACAACAAAAACAAACTAGAACAGTACAAACTAGTACAACTACTCCCCTTTTTTACATCATAAATGTCAAACACAAAAATTAATTAAAACAGTTCAAAGCAGTTTTAAAGAAAATGAGTAAGAAAACAAACACAGTTGTTCAACTAATCAATATAAATATAACATAATAAACTAAAACAACAAAAACAAACTAGAACAGTACAAACTAGTACAACTACTCCCCTTTTTTACATCATAAAAAGGAGGAAAACAAAAATTGTAAAACAGAAAAGGACAAAAATAAGGAAAACAATATCACAAAAACACACTAAAAGAAAGACGGGTCCTGATCATCCGAAGGAGGGGGTGGTGGTAGTGGCTGCTGAGAGTAGCTAAACAAAGTGGCGAATTGTGCTCGAAACCAGGCCACGATGGAGATGATCAGAGAAGGCCCAAAAATAATAAAATCAACTAAAAATGATAAAAATAAGATACGAAAAAGACATAAAAATGAACAAAAGCAAAGGTTTTTTTTATCAAGGCATGAATATGATATAGTCTCCATGTGATTAATTTTAAAGGCTTGTAAGTGAATGAGTTAACAACGTCAAAAATCCGAAAAAGCGATAAATTATCCGATAATGTTAACTCTTAACTCGGACTTCTCTCAGGGCAAAACTGTATTTTGAAATCAAAAGACCTAACTCAGAAAAATCAATTGGATAAGAAAAGGAGATTCGT